CAAGTGTCAGTCTCCGCCAGGCCCATCTTTTTGAGGTGGTACCTCAGAGGGCCGTGTCCTGTGAGAAAGCCTGTGATAAGCTTTAGCTCTGGTTTGCTGAGGCTGAGTAGCTCTTTGGCTCGGTTCTGCGAATGGTTGATGAACCTTTTCGCTTGTCGTTGACCTGGAGTTGCTCTCCAGTAGGAGGACTTTTCAATTTCTTCCCATTTCCTGAGTTCTCCCTTTAGGTGACATTTGCTTATCTCACAAAAAGGCTCAGGACCAAAAAGTGCAGATGCTGCACCTTTTTTTGCAAGGCGATCAGCTGCCTCATTTCCTTTGATTCCTTCATGCCCTGGAACCCACATAAGTGTGACTTTGTTGCCCTTTCCCAGTTGCATGAGTGTTTCAAAGCAGTCCCATGTAATACAGGTACATTGAAATAATACTTATATTTTTATTTATAAGCTCGATTAACCTAAAAACAGTATTTTATGATTATTTTATCAATTTTAAACCGTCTTTCCATTCGAACCAACATACGCCATTGATGGATTCTGCTTCTAATATAATGTTGAACCAGTGCCTCAGTGACATTTCAATAAGTCGAACAACAATCAAATGTGCTCAGTCAGCAGTCAGTCTCTAATTCAGGGTAATGTCAGTAATAAAGTTAAACGTTCCCTGGCCAATTAAAGTTGATCTCATGTTGTCTGAATTATAGTATTCTGATGCACGAACAATAATAAAAGCGTTTCACTATTCCTACGAGTTAGAAAAATGTCAAGGCTTACGGCCAAGAATTAGATAATGACAGAAACGAAGGACCATATGGTACAAGTGAATCTAGTGCTTTATAAACAAGGTTTGACAGTGCCAATCAACTTCATGATAACATTCACATAAACCTCATTTAGATTCCTCGACATAATTATTATGTGATCATTCCCATAAAAATGAAAATTGAAAATGAAATAGAGAAGCTGATGAAACGTATCTCTTTACTAGAAAGCCAAAATGTTCGATTCAAAAACCTACTGGATTCTGCTCTAGAAGTCACCAAACAATCAGTATCAAGAACCTATATCCAGAAAGATGAAACAGAATTCCTACAAGAAACCATCAAGCTCATCGAACAGGAAAAAATGCAAATGCAGGAAGATCTGAATATGCTAACATCATCAGAGAATGAATTCATCTTATTCCAAGTCAAACAAGCACAAAATGACAATGCAGAACTAAAGAAAAAAGTCGACGTTCTTCTAGCACAAGCGCAAAAACACAGTAAAGATATTGATCAGATCAAAACAGAACATTCAGAAATCAAGTTTCTACTCACCCAGCCCGACTCAAACGCTCAGTGGCTCAAGAATATTTTACAGCTAGACAATATCGTGGCAGAAAATGCTAGTCTAACCCTTATGGAAGAAAGATACACCCTGCAAAAAAAGATCGTCAGCCTGGAGAGGAAGAAAACAGAGCTGCTGATGGCCATCGAAGATATGGCTGTGCCAGATAACAAGTCTCCGAAGGACATTTACAAGTCTGATATAGAAAAAGCCTTGTTTCAAGCTATTGATGATGTCGCTAAGAAGGAATACGAAAACATGCATTTGAAAGTGCTTGAGTTGGAACAAGAACGCTCGAAACTCCTGAACGAACTCCAATCAGTATTAGATAGTTCCAGAAAAGAGATAGCGGGTGAATACTGCAGATTACAACAAAAAATTCTAGATATCGAAACTGAGAAGGCTGAACTGAAGCTTACTTTAGAAAACCTAGGAAGTGATCCAGAGAAAATTAAAGATTTGGAGAATATAATAGGTGAGAGGAAGAAGTTTGCGTTTCCGGCTGCAATCAGTGAGGAAGAGAGTGTTCAGTTGAATAATATCCTCAATGCTTTCACCAACAAGAAATCTGAAATAAACATTCCTGAGGCGCTTCGGAGAGATAATCAGCGGGGAAGAAAGTATCTCCATATTGGAGTTAGCAGCTGTGCTATACTATAAGGAAAAAATTGTACCAAATATATGACAATTTTCACAAACTAAAGAAATTGGTAGAAGTGTCATGATATTGAACTTCCTCATTTTGTTGTAGTCTATTTCTAATAAGTTAACACGCATTATCAGATGCTATTTGTATAACAATGGAGGAAAGTAGTACATTTTCTCCCAAGAATGAAGTTTACTGCCCGGCGCGTAGTGGAGGGCAGTATTCATTCAAGGAAAGAATGGTCACTTTACCCATATGATTTATACATATGATTTTTCAGCCTTCATGAAACAACAAGTCATTTTCAAATAATTTATTCATGAAACTAACAAACAAAATTCATTGAAGAACTAAAACTAAGAACTTCGTACAGTATAACTTATTAGGCACGATATTCTCAGTCTTGCCTCCTACATTTTTTAATTCGTGGTAGAGTAATTCTGAATCTCGAACCACCCTGTATCTGTTTCAATTAAATGTCAGTAGATAGTTTATCAAAAGTTTAGATATAGGGACATGTAAGCCGTTTTGTCCAATTCAGCACAAAATGATCCTAAATTTGAAAAATCTCGATTTTCACGGAGAAAGTAAAACTACGCAATGATATACAGGGTATTCCATTTGAAAGATAGCAACTTTGATATATTTCGTGTTTTTGGCACACCCTGTACAACATGAAAATATTTTTATAATGAAACGCTGATAAGTCCCTATTCATCAAAAATAAATTGTCAAAAAACAAATGCTTCAGCCACAATGCTTCGTGTCGAATAACGTCAACCCTGTATAATTGATTATAGTTTAGGTCGTTGAAGCCGTATTACTTATTTCATTGATGACGTACCATAACCTCCCTAGGGGGGGAAAGTACGACTTTGCTCCCTACAATGAGACCAGGAAATGTATACTTTGAATAGAGGTAGGCAGAAATATCGATTCTGAATTATATTGAATGTCTATTATAGACTCTAGACCAAATATGTAGCATGAGTAGTGACGAGTAGAAGTTGGAATACTCTGCAGTTCATATAGGAGAAAAAATATTCATTACATCCCCACTAAATCTTGGTAGTGAAATACTCTCCTTATAAAATAAGTAGTTGAAATAGATTACATATCAAAAATATGAAAATAGAATTGAACATTTCCAGAATTTCAAAAGTGGTTTTGATAATTCTATCACCTTATAAGGAAACTGTCACTGAAAACTCAAAATGTTGATTTTGGTTAACCTCAAAAAATTGGTAGTGTCACTATTCTCGAATTTCTTCAACTTTATTCGGTTCTGGCCGGCTATTTATTCCTACACGATGTCGGAAGATAGCGCAGATACCAAAAAGCGAATCAAACAACTGGAAAATCAAAACTTGAAATTGCAAAGGCTTTTGGACACTGCTCTTGATGTGGCCACTCAAGATACTTCTGGTATTACTGCATTGAAAGATGAATCACATACTCTGGCTGAAGCAGTCGAAAATCTCGAAAAGCAGAAAGCAGAGCTTGAAACGGAATTGACTTCAGTGCTAGGAGGTAATGAATTGGCTGTCTTCAGACTAGAAAGAGAACAAGTTGATCTGAAAGGGAAGTTGGATGCCGTCTTGAGTGAAATCAAGAAAGGTGACTTGGAGATCAGAGCACTCAAGTCTGAAGATGAGCATCTGAAGGAAGCTTTAACCGCATTAGAAACCGAAAAAAACAATTTGTTGGAAGAACTCAAAATGATCGAAGAAAATAAAACTTCTCTATCGCAGATGAGCTTGATGGTACAAGAAAAACTGTCAGAGATCGAGAACAGGAAAACCAGCTTGACCGAAACCAAATCACCAATTGAAGACGGGCCATCTTCTGAAGAGACAATCTTGTCAAACTTCAAGAATCTGGAGAAAACCTATAAAGACTATCTGCATGCCCTTGAAGATCATGACACTTTGGAACGAAAAATATCCGAACTTGAAGAGAAAAAAGAAGTTCTTGTTGGTGTAGTAGACAGTGATAGTCATAGAGCAAGGTCACAAATGCAACTCTGTCGCGTGATAGAGTCCAACACAAATGTGATGATGAAGATACGGACTGTGAAATCGACATTGCAAAACAATTTGTCTATCAATAGCTCCTCTGCGAAGAGTATGGAAGCGCCCAAAATGAAAATCATGGAATTGAAGGTATCAGAACTCGAGAAACAGAAGGATGACTTGTACGATGAATTACAACAGACTCTAGAAAAATCTTCAAGAGAAATTGAGAGCTTGGGAGAAGAGTTATCAGACCCAGATATGAAGAGATTAATCAATGAGATAGAAATCCAAAAAACTGTGCTGCTCTACAACCTCAAATTGCTCAAAATCGAAGACAACCCAGATAAATTGGATATACCAAGTATACCAAGCGTAAAATCTGATATTCCCACCAACTGCATCCCTACAACTTCCGAGCTGGAAGCGAGAGCGGCAAAGTTAACAAGGTCAGAAGAAATCTTCAATACAAGCATAGGTTCTTCCTCCAGCTACGAGCCATCAACTTCTAGTGGACACAAAAATTTGGAGGACCAAATAACCAGACTTGAGAACGAGAGATCATTATTACTCAGAAGATTGCATTCGGTATCAGAAACGTCTGCGCAACGTTTCGAGGAGAGGATTCTTCAGACTCAGAGCGAGTTACACTGTACTTTTATGAAAGAGAAGTCTTCTGAACAAATGATAACCGGAAATAACTACGACGATGCCACCAATCAGCTGTATGGAAGTGATGATGCCAGGTTGGAGCAAAGGATCAGGGAACTTGAGATAGAGAATGAGAGAATCAAGAGCGAGTTAGAGGTAGTCATGGAGCAAATTAGGGAGGAACGGAACATGCCAAACCAAGTACCCGTGGCAGATGTTTTGAGAGAAAGGATTGATGAACTGGAAATGACTACGGTTTCGAAAAAAACTTAACGCATACAGTTTGAATGTATAATCTAAAGGTCTAGCTTGTATGCCATATCAATAGCCTTTGAATCATATAACATTGAATATGCAAAACAAATGTTTATCTTTTATAATGCATTGAGGTAACTTCCTCATCGATATTACGTTTCCTCACATTTATAGGTCAACTTGTATAATTAAACATAAGATCTTTATTGAGTCATTGTTTTGATGGTTGAGGTTGGTCAAATATTTCTGAACAATGACATGTGGGAAGAGGAAATCAGTCTTGCCACATTCAAACAGCTATTAATCTATGGAAAACATCGTCCCACAACTATAATTGACTATCAAATTAGTGTTAAAAGCTATTTTACCGAGTTGGAAGTGACTGAGAAATAAGTAATTGGCTATGCAGCATTAAGCTCTGAACAATTCATTCAAAACCGTTCGCTCAATATATTACCACAAAATCAATAGTTTTGCCTATGATAAATATCAGCGATATGTTATCATCAAATATATTTTCGAATGCTCGAAGCATAAAAATAGTTACTTTAGGTCCGAGTCCATTATTGTTTGTGAAACACAAATAAACGATGATATTTCAACAAAATGTATATATGTTTGTTAACATATATATACAGATTGTTTATCGAATCGTTACATTAGACAACATCGCAGTCACGAAGAGAAACGCTCAACATAATTCTCTTCACATATTCCAGCAGAGACAAGCGAAGTCGTACAGGGTGATTCACCATCAATGCCCCTCTCTAGCTTAGTAATTTTTGAATCCATCCCAAAATTTGGAGAATTAGTTGAAGTGTTCTGTGATAAATTTTCTTCCACTACATTGGAAAAATACAGGATGCTTGGAACAAACGATCTACAGGGTACTAGTACAGATTCTCCCTGAAGAGCTGATTTCATCAATACATCACACTTGGAATCTAACGAGAATGATTACAGAGATATAGGGTTTTCAAAATCGAGATTTTTCAACTTTAGAATTTTTCGTTGCGAAACTATCCATTATTGAACATTATTGTCCCTAGCTTAGCTTCTGATTTACTATCTACTGACATTTAATTAATAATTAGAAATGATACTAGGTGTTCAGATCTTGAACCACCCTGTATTGTTCTAATCGAATGTCAGTGGACAGTAATTCGAAAGGACATGAGAGCCGTTTGAACAATAATGAATAGTTTCGATACAAAATAATCCTAGAGTTGAAAAATGTCGATTTTGAACAACCTATTTCTTTGTAATCATTCTCGCTAGTCCCCAAGTATTAACGAAATCAGCTCACCAGGGGGAATCTAAGAATGAAATGGAATACATTATATTCAAAAAAACAACTGATACCCTGTAGAAGATTTTTCGAATTTTGAAATCGGTTCAAAAGTAAGTGAGCTAGAGGGGGGACATTTATGGTGAATCACCCTGTACGATAGTCGCATCATGTTGCTATTCACAAAATTGGCCAGTGCTGTAACTTCTGAATCATTATTCATTACTTTCGGTTTCACCGGAAACGACGCCAACTTTTGATTTTCAAAAGGGACACCCTGTATTTTATTCCATAATCGGTCAGGGGTTATCATAACGAATTTGGCATCGTCCTAGCTTCTCAGGTAAGGCAATGGCCGTGGATGTGGACATATACCGGGTGACACAGTAGAAATGTAACAGCCTGTAGTTTTTTTATTTGAAGGGATAAGAATTTGGAATTCACAAGGGTTATATTATCGATGATGGCGTTACCTTTGAACCCATTGACAATTTTTTTCAACCACCTGTTTGATTGGAAGTAGACCCATTTTTTTTTGTTCAAATAGCACCCCGTATATTTCTGTAGTTTATCTCATTCCTTTTGAAATTCTCTATTCAACTATATATCACAATTTGATATTCGTTTATTAATTAATTGGCTGTTAAATTGCATTTTATTGAAATACATGAAGTTGGCTGTGGCCCGAATACAATGACATTTCGATGCTTGATACGCTTACAAATATAAAGGTCATCACTTAGACGATATTGTTACGTTATTCGGGTGCCGAAGCGAACACGACACTATTTATTTTGGAACTGATTTATTTAAACTAAAGAAACACTAATTTATAATATCGAACTTATAACTACTATTTATGTAAAACGATTTATATCACGCGGTATATAACTGTCTCTCTGACACTCGCTGCTTAACTGACTGACGCAGTTGTTCGGCCGTCTTATATATAAGATCCATTGGTAGGCTTTGGTTCGAGAACGTTCTCGAATGATCTTCCGTCTCCTTCTTCTTGTTCTAGAAGCTTCTTAGAACAGTACCTCTCTCTCTCTCTAATTGTTCCATCGATTGTTTCCAGAACATTCCAGAATCTTCTGACACGTTATTTGTCACCGCGGCATATATTGAGTGTTCGGAAATATGCTGGTGCATGTAGGAATCATTGAGAGGTTGGAGAACAATCTGAGATGCGTGTTACAGGATGATCGTTGTACTCCTGCCTTCCTGCTGATGTTTCTAAAGCCCCTCTAAGGGGAATATCATTACAATATTATCAGAATATTTTCCATACCCTAATCGGTCCCAGAAGATTACCAATAGTTTCATTAAGTTTAAAAAAATCATCAGAGAATAACTCACGATATTAGAACGATACATCAATTATTACAACAATTTCAGTTTCATGTATCCAAATGGATGATCATATTATGGCTACATGGCAAAAATGAAAGACAAATAGTTTCTTTACAAGTAGCCAAATGAAAAAAACTGAGTTTCTATCTTATAGTTTTCTCAATATCAATATCAATATTTTAAAATTCGTAGACTACAAATTAGGTAATTTATCGGACTAACATTTATTTCTAGAATACAGATATGACCCCTGTGTGCTCTATAGAAGCCGGTTGTCATGAAAAGAAAGTGTGTGGAATAATGTGCTTTTCATGTTAATGTGTTCCTCCCTAAAATGGGAAGCCCAGTTCTCAGAAATCCGGTCTCAAGTATTGAAATTGAAGTGTCTCAAGTGAATTCATTGATTTTTTTTTTCAGATATCCGGAATCAAGATTAGCTAAACTATTCAACGGGAGCATACCTATCGTATTAGATTCTCTCAAACAGCATTACTTCATTGACAGAGACGGTGGTATGTTCAGGCATATCCTCAACTTCATGAGGAACTCCAGGCTACTGATACCTGATAACTTCCAAGATCTCGACCTCCTGCTGGAAGAGGCTAAATATTTCGACATCACACGTAAGTTTTGCCCCGCTACTCTATCAAAACAGTAGCTGATTCAAAAAGTAGCTGCCACAGTGACGAATTAGAGATAAACTCGTCATTACTTGTTGAGCTCTTCCTTGACACTAACAAGACGTTTTTTCGAGGTACATAAACAGGGTGATTCAGGTTTCAATGCACAAACTGAAATGGAAAATAGATCCCATCATTTTAATCAAAAAAGTTTATATCAACACTAGTCCGATCTCGTTCAGTAGTGGAGCTACAGGGGGTCAAAGTTTAATTATATTTTTCTATTATTTGAAAATTTTGCTTACTTTTCAATATATCATTTTGAAATTTGGTGTGGTCTTTACTTCTCAGAAGATCATCATTTTAAGCCATTTGAAGATTTTCAAAATCTACAGGGTGATTCGTTTTTGAAGGTAGAGGCTTATCCTTTATCATCCCCAAACTTTTTCGTAGTAAACGAACTGTTTTTGAGATAAATGAGCACATACGTTCTGAGACATGGTAATTTTGCATATCTTTCGCTTAAATTTTATTCAACTGAAAAAAAACTTGACTTTCTACCTTCCGTACTCCTGTAACTGATCCAGATTGGACTAGTGATTGCATTTCATTGCATTTTCAATGAATTTTGTCAAAGAATAAAATTTGAGCGGAACATAGGCAAAATTCACATGTTTTAGAACGTACAGGGCTAGTTTTATGTGAACCCTCCTTCATCTTTTTTGTTTCACACTCATTAAAAAAAAAATTAGAGCTTATTTTATACAATTTTCCATACAGATTTCACTCATATTGACAATCTCTTCAAATATACAAGGTATACAGAAAAATATATTTTTTTCAAATGGAATGCACTGTATATTTTGATAGATTTGGAATCCTCAATTCATCCTGATTTCAAATATATGGTATAAGGGATTCATATCTATCAAAATAAACAGCGCATTCCATTCAAAAAGTATATATATTTTCTGAATTCCCTGTATATTTGAAGAGATTTTGCAACACAGTCACTATGGTCGGAACCTATATGAGAAATAATTGTATGAAATCTGTATAAAATTTTGTTTGATGGGAGGAAGCCAAACAAGAGCAAGAGGGGTTCACAACTTATTTATCTCGAAAACGGCCTGTTTCTCGAAAAAACTTGAGAAGCAAAAAAGCCTCTAAATTGAACGATCCACACAATTTGGTCACTGGAAGATGCCAGAGGCGTACTACGAAAAAGTTTGGGAGGGATAAAGAAGCCTCTACCCAAAAAAAACGTATCACCCTGTAGATTTTGAAAATCTTCAAATAGCTTGAAATGATGATCTTCTAGAAAGTATTGACCACACCAAATTTCGAAGTGAAATCTCAAGAAGTGAGCGAGATATTTCAATTGATAACAAAAAATTATTGAACTTTGACCCCCTGTAGCTCCGCTACTGAACGAGTTCGGACTAATGTTTATATAAACATATTGGATTGAAATGATGAGATCTATCTCCCATTACAGTTTGTGCCATGTTTTATGATGCTCAATGAACTTATGGAACTCTCGAAGGAAAAACAGATTATATTTCATAAAACATGAAAACTATATATTCCAAATTATTTATTATCTCATTCAACTGTTTGCTATGTCAACCGTTGATATGAACTATTCTACATCCAATGTTGTACAGGGTCTTAGGTACTGCCAACATCTCCCTTCTTTAATTCGAAATCCTTGAGATATCCTGGAATTCGTCTTGTTCTACTAGGCCTTGCTGGACATTCAGGTTCTGGTGATATATTGGACGATTCTTCTTCTAGATCAGGATAAGTTTCAGGAACAATATCTTGAATGACTTCAGAATTCACCTGAACCGGAGGAGTTGCAGATGACTCTTCATTTGGAACTCTTGGTATATCGAAAGATTCCATCAAAATATCTAATGGTAAAAGATTCTCTTCTATATCACACTCGGTATATCTTTTCTTCAACTGGTTCGCATGTACTCTTGATGTTTTCCGGGAGTTTTCAAGTGAAACTTCAAACATAACGTTACCAATCTTGCCAGTAATTTTCCCAGGTTTCCAGTGGAACCCATTGTTATGATATACCTTGCAATATACCATATCACCAACTTCGATTGATTTGGTAACCGCAGTGTCCGCAGTATCACCATCTTGTTGTTGAACTGATCCTCGATATGGCAATATCAGATCCAGAGTGGTTCTCACTTTCCTTCCAATTAGGATTTCCGGAGATTTTTTATGTGGTGTACAATGGCTAGGAGTGGTTCGGTAAGTTGCCAAAAAAATCTGTATTTGTTGTTCTAATGGCTGTCCTCCTTTGCCAATTTTTTTCAATGCTCTTTTAAATGTATCGACAAACCTTTCCACTTGTCCATTCGATTGTGGGTGGTAAGGTGGCGTCCTCATATGTTCAATGCCATTTCTTTTACAAAATATCTGGAAATTTTCGCTACAGAATTGACTGGCATTGTCAGAAACAAGAGTCTGTGGATTCCCGAATCTGGCGAAAATCTCTTCCAAAGTTCTGATGATGAAGGCAGTTGTTGTATTCCTCGTGCTCACTATTTCTGGCCATTTCGAGTATGCATCAACAACAATGAAGAAGAAATCACCTCCAATGGGCCCCGCAAAGTCCATATGTAGTCGCTGCCAGGGTCCTTTGGGTGGAATCCAAGGTGAAAATGGAATCTTCGGTGGTGATTTTGCTGCTTCTGCACAGCTCGAACATTTCCTGACGAAATCTTCAATATCTGCATCAATGTTCTGCCAGTATACATAGCTTCTTGCAATGGATTTCATCCTTTCTTTCCCAGGATGGCCTCTGTGTAACTGGTTCAGAATGCGACGTTGAAAGATTTCTGGAATCACAACACGTTCTGCGAACATCAAACATCCATCTACAACTGAGAAATTCTCCTTCCTGTTGTAGTAAGATTTGAATTCTGCATTCAATTTCAACTTGCTTGGCCATGTATCGTTTCCAACATATTCGATGATTTCTTGGAGAGTCTTGCATTTTGAGGTTGCTTGTTGAATCATCCTGTATGTGACTGGAAGTGGATCGATGGCAGTGTTCAAAACTTTAAGAATCTCGGATTCAACTCGTATTGAAGAGATGACATATTCTTCATCTTGAACTGCATCTGGGTTGATTAATCTTGATAGTATATCGGCATGTCCAAAATCTTCTGTTTTAATATACTCGATTTGAAAATCGTATGTCTTCAGTATAAGTGCATACCTCTGCAATCGATTAGCTGTATGAACAGGAATACCTTTTTTTGAGCCGGAAATAGCTAGAAGTGGTTTATGATCACTTTGAAAAATTACAGGTCGTCCATATATCATACGGTGGAACTTCTTAGCTGCAAATATGAGGGCGAGAGCTTCTTTTTCTATCTGGCTATACTTTCTCTCTGTCTCTGTGAGTGAACGAGAAGCGTGATAGATTGCTTTCATGGATCCATCTTCGAATCTATGGTAGATGCAGGAACCAATACCACTATTGGAGGCATCTGCTGCAACTACTATAGGTAATTTCGGATTATAGTGAGTCAGTAGGAGTTTTGATTGTAATAATTCCTTGAATTTGTCGAAAGATTCCTGACATTCACTGCTCCATTCCCATTTTGCATTCTTTCTCAGTAACTGATCAAAAGGTTTTCTGAGTTCATGCATATTCCTGACAAATTTTCCATAATAATTGATCGCTCCCAAATATGATCGAAGTGTAGAAATATCATGTGGAGGAGGCATATGTGTGATGACCTCAATTCTTCCTGGATCAGGTTGTATCCCATGTTCACTGATGATACTTCCTAAATACTTGATTTCGCGAAGGTGGAACTTACATTTCTGAATCTTGAGATGAAATCCAAATTCTCGAATCCTTTGCAAAACATTCAGTAGATTCTGTTGATGTTCTTCTGTAGTTCTTCCCGAAACAATTATGTCATCGATGTATGCTGCTGTTCCTTCCAGGCCTGATATCATATTTTCCATTATTTGTTGAAATATTGTAGGAGCTACTTTGATTCCAAATGGAAGTCGATTGTAAGAAAATAACCCTCTATGCGTATTGATTGTGAGGTATTTTCTTGAATTCTCCTCAACCTCAACTTGTAGAAATGCATCAGACAGGTCGATGACACTGAATATTTTCGAATTTGCTAACCTGGAGAAAATGTCTTCTGGAGTAGGAAGTGGAAATCTGTGGGGTTGAAGCGCCTCATTCAATCCTGTTGAATAATCTCCACGAATTCGTATATTTCCATTGGCTTTTCTCGTAACTACTATGGGTGCAGCCCATTCAGAATAATCTACTGGGGAAATTATATTCAAACTTTCGAGTCGATTCAGTTCTTCTTCAACTTGTGTTAGTACAGCATAAGCTACTGGTCGTTTTGGACGAAAGACTGGCTTGCTTTCTTGAGAAACATGTAATTCCACCTTCATTTTGTTACAGTGTCCTAGTGAATCATCGAAAATATCTGGAAATTTCTTCTGAAACTGCAGAACACTTGGTATGTCTCCTTTTGAATCTGGCACTGACATGACATTTTGTGTCAGTGACATGACATTACAAATTGAATTCAGTGGAATGTCCCACAAGCCAAATTTCGTAATCCAATCGATACCCAATAAATTTAGCTGTTTTATTGGTGTTACATAGCATTTTGCTGGATACGCTTGATTGTTGAAAACTGTCCTACATTTGAACTCGGAAATGAGTGGAAGTTGTTGACCGCTGGCATTCTTGACAATGTTTTCTGTTGCGGTACACTGGGGTCTTCCTAGCTTGCTCCATGTGTCTTCTGATATAATGGTTATATCAGAGGCTGTGTCAACTTGAAGATCGACTGGTATACCATTGATGATAACTTGAAGGTACTTGCGTTCTGTTATTGAATTCACTTGAGAAATAATATTGCTTCTAGTGAAACGCTTGAATGTTTTCTTCTTAATATTGCCACAGTATCCTTCTTTGTGTCCAATCTTCT